AAAGTCTTAACTCAACTTCTCTGATGCCACCCATTCGTATTACCCCACTTCACCTACGTCCACCTCCCGCATTGCGATATTTAACGTTGTGGAAAGGCAACAATTATTGCATGGCGCTGCTGCACTCTCCAGCCCGCCCAGTGCTGAAGCACCGCTGCCGCTAATCACGACATGCTCTGGAGATGAGACCAACCGAATCAATGCCTTTGTGCAAAGCAGCTGGGTGACTGGAGCTGGCAATTTTTAGTGTCTCTATTCAGCACGTGGTGGCTGCAGAAATATTCCAGCAAGAAACAAAGCATTTCTCACAAACAAAGAATAAGACAAGTAATAATTTCAGATAATAACACTCCAAAGAATTTGTAACTGGTGCCTGGGATCCTAGTGTGGTATTGACTGCAAGGTGTCCTTCCTTGTGGTTCAGTGATATTTCAGGCTGAAGTGTATGTTTTAGAACGCATTGTCTCAAGTTAAGAAAAAGCTGTTATTTCCATGCAGAACATATCAGCAAGGTGGTATATTGCTGATACAACCTGCACAGGCCACCAGAAGACTCAACTTCTGTCTCAGAGCTGGTCGTTCAACTTGCTTACCTTACTGCTCTTTCCATTACCCTGGAGTTCTTACTGAAACTCCTTTGTTACCGTTAAAAGAAAAGTTAAACCTACTATTTCCGAGGAACAGCATACTGCCACTGAAGTAGCTTGTCTTGGTGCTTAACAAGAAATGTACAGTCATAGCATAGGTTATTACACCCCAAAGTGATATCCATCTGAGGGGGTCAAAGGAAAGAAAAAACCCTATAACCTTGCAAGTATTTGAGACCAGCTTCTGCACCCAGTCCTCATGTTCTGAGCAATTTGCTCCCTCTAAGGAGTCCTCTGTAAAAGGTCTCCACATTACGGGTTTTTGTTAGCCATATGTGTGCTCCAACTTTATCTTTATTGGAGTTTTCATGATAATCGGTTAGTGGGGAACCCTTTCTCTTCGTAAAATTCAAACAATCCCCAGTGGTTTTCTCAGGTGTGAGGTAGATGGAGGAAATGAGAAGACAGCAAACTAGACAAAAGCAAAGGAAGCTGCAATTTATCACTTTAAAATATAGTATGTTAAACAGAAAATTAAGGCTACAACGAATTGGCAATTGCTAAAAACTCCACCCGTTTTAGGCATTCCTTACCAATTGACCACAGGGAAGAAAAAAAATAGAATTAATCCTTAGCAACAGGGAGCAATAGCATTCGAATCATTGGCATTGCTTGTTAGTGTTGATACTGCAGTACATGTTGTTTGGTATAACGATATACAAGTCTTGAAACAAATTTCCCAGCAGTAGTATCCTTGTATAGACTGAATAAAGGTTATTTTCTACAGGGAGGTATCTTATAAGAAAAAACAGTAGGGGAGACCATAGAAGTGAGAGGATCCTATGGAGCTTTTTGTATTTAACAACAATCAATGGGTTTTATGGAAAATCATTGAGCAAAATGTGAGCTGCAAGCTCACTACCCCATACTGATGTTATTTATAACCTTAGTCTTAAACTGCAGGAAAAGTACACTTCCGTTCTATGGGGAATACATTAAAAGTATAAAGAGCAGATAAAAAGACAGAGCATTTCATGGATCACCAAGAACAAAATCCACTTAAATGAGCTTAGAGTTGGTTTCTTGGCTTTTACTGATGGAGAAGGACTATAAGGCATTGCCCAAGAGGAAAAAGCTGTTACCTAAGTGTGTTTGTTACCTCATGCATAAACATGGGATTACTGTAACACACATACATGCATATACGGTGTTTGCTTCTAACTACTTTAACTCTATCAAGACTGTATTATCATTTCTTATGATTAGGGCAGATTTCTACTTCTGCTTTGCATATGCGGCTTGTCTGTTTGGGTTTTTTTTTAGTAAATATTTGGGTGATAAAAGATGAATAGCTGCTGGTTTGCAAGATAGCAGGAAGGATCATTTTTCCCCTTCTGTGTTGCCTAGGTAAATCATCATTAACATCCTATATGTGAAGTGCTAACCACAGTAATACAGGTTTTAACTTAGCAGGGATGCAGCCATGAAATATTTGTTCAGTAACCCTATCTGTAGAAAATGGCACAGTATGAAGAGGGTCAGCTGGTGCTTATCCAGCATCAGCAGGGTCTCCAGCTCGTCTACTGAATTAAGTCTCAATGCCAGGCACATTGTTTCTCACTTGTTTTAAAAAGGAGCAGGGAAAAAAAAAGACTAAAGTTACTTTAGGGGTACACAATAAGAACGTTTTAGCTGCTAGATACCAACTTTATTATCTAATTTAAGTCCCAGATTAAATAATACATTCTAAAGACATGAGACTCAAACACAAGCATGCTCCTTGCAATAAGCTGAATAATTATTAAGAACAAAGAGAGGAGAAGAGAGTTTATGATATAACTTGTTACCTGCAGATGGCAGACTGGCTATAGGCTGGGCCTTCGGTGGCGCTTAGGGCTTGGCCAACTTGAGTCTGTGTCAGGCCAAGGGACAGGCGCCGGATTTTAAATGCTTTGGCAAATTCTCGGATTTCTTCCAGATTCACCCCATCCACCTCTCCAGTGGCTGTTTGAGGATCTGTTGAAATATTTTTTAATCATGTCAGTTCTTCACGTCACATACCAGCGGGCTAGGCTTACACCAGCTTTCATTGTCAACGCGTCCATGTTTGTTTTTAAAAATATTTACCCCTTTCTCTTCTCCAAAAAGAAAGAGGCTTGCCTTGTCAGGTGTGTTACAAAGCATGTTCAGATTGCTAAAACGCTAACTAGGCTGCAGTGTTTCCAGGGGCTGGTGAAAGATTTTCAAAGACAGACTTTGTTGCTGAACTCCTGAAAATGGCCAACTCGCCTCTGAGTGAGGCGGTGCCAGGGCTCCTCACTGTCACTTGTGCCTTGCAAAATGACCCCCAGGTTGACAAGTCACGTTCCCCATTTCCCCTTCTTATCACATACAGAAGGAAGGCTGGTGTGAACATATTGATTTGCAGTCCATGGGGAGGGCTAAATATATGCATGAACTGCTTGGGTTTTTAATTTGAAATCAAGACTTTCTGCTTTATCCAAAATTAATGCCAAATAAGGACATTCACAAACCTTCCTTCCCTTTTGCACAACACCCAACCCAAACCACCAGCCAAACATCCAAAATAAGCCAGCAAATGAAGAAGCCCAAACAAAATGCTGCCTTTAAAAACTCCTTAATTTAAAAATAATCTTTTCAAATATGCCCTTCTGAGAAGCAGCCTTTCAAGCTTTTCATTCTGCCTCCCATCAGGTTGATAATCAAGAAGCAGCAACATCAGCCATTAGGTTTTGGATGGTAATGCTGCACAATTTTTTACTTTTACATTAGCCCCTCAGAAGATAATGCTTATGATGCTGTGAGAATAAATCTGTCCTTCCTCTCCATAGCAGTTTACTGACACAGAAGCCTTTGTCCCTGAAAGGGCACATAATAAAGCATGTCTACCACAGGAAGGCTCCTTTGGTGCTGAATAACTCGGTCAATTTAGGACTTATCAAGGGAAATGACACAACAGCTGGAGAACGGAACTTTTTCCCCCCCCCAAGCTACTGATCCCTGGCTAAATGAAAGCGTTTGCCAAGTCGGAGACAGCATGGGACTAAGATGGTGGAAGATTTCAAAGTGTTGTGCAATCCTGCGTGTAGTGAAGCCATTCTCTCAGCGAGACATCTCTATTGTTCTTCACCTCATCCCTCACACTTCTTAGGTGAAAAGTTTGCAGCACAATAACCCATCAATTTCTGTAAATGCAAGCAGTTGTCCAAGGACGGTACTAGACTACATTACTATTCTGAACCCTATATGAGAGTGGCTCCTGCTAGTACTGCTATAGCTAACGGCTTGTCAGCATTAGAGTAACAAAGCTTTTATTTTCAGGGGTTTATAAACCTGATGTAAAATTCCCTTATGATGGAAATGTCCTATAAAAAAATCTTTTAGTCCAATAATAGACAGAGGGAAGAGGTTTTTTCTGCTATATAAATTTAACCTATATCGATTCACAACCTGAGTGTAGGAAGCACACATAGCAATAGTGTTTTAAAAATACTCGTGTATGCAACCAGGGACCACATGAACTATGCATACAGGTAAACAGGCACACAGGCCGACCCTAATTTTGACAATGCTTCACACTCAGAATTGTCCCTCCTGTTGTCAGTGCTGTGCTTGATCTCACCTGTGCACACATGCACGCACTCATTCGATACAGAGCTAGGGCACGTATTATTTGGTTTTAAGTAGTCGGTGCTATGACAGGGGCCACTCAGGTTTGTAAAGTAATTGCCTTTAGAGGTGTGAAATTTTCCTACTTACCGCGTACACAGTCTATCTAGCATACCAGTTCTGATTTTCAGAGACACAGAATGGAGCTGGATGCTTATCTGCCCTTTGGGTCTCTGAAGAGCAACTGATAAATGTACAAAATATCATAAATGATAATGGCCTCAAAGATTCCCTTGAGTAAAGTGCACTAAGATGGTGACCTTCCTCACCTCTTTCCTTCCTTCACTTTAAGGCCTCTGACTAAGGCTATTAGGGATGTGACAAAGGACAATTCAGGTGTTCCCAGAGAACTTTCAAAGTAGCAAATGCTATGGCAACTGGCACCTGTAAACCTCCCCAACTCCTGTTAGGAATAAAAAGGGAGGTAAGAAAGCTAAGGGGTTATTTGCTTGCACATGATTATAAAGAAATTCTGTCAAGTTCTGCTGGAACTTTCTGGTATGGCACTATTGCAACAGTGAATACCATGGAAAGTCCTTTCCTGCTTGGAGGGCTTGGACGGGGGAACAATTAGGCTGAACTCTCCTTGAGATGAGAAAAAAACCTGAGATGCACATCAGGAATATGGGAGTAGATTGTAATATATGGCAGAGTACCTGTTGAGAAAGTGGCTTCGTTCTTAAATAGTGTCTTTGGGAGGAGGAAAGTACTAACAGAGAGTGA